ACGATATGATAGCGATAGTTTCGGTGCCATCAGCGAGGTGTGGCTTGCACGGGTATTATATCCTTATTTATATGACTGCCATGATGAAAAGCTTTACTTTCTTCCTACGTATTTCTACTTGCTTGTGTACTTCAGAATGAACAGCCTTAGAAAAGAAACCCACATTTTTCGAGTGCGAACATGCGTTGTTTAAGAAAAATTATAGTTTAATTGGGGACAGAATCAGGTCACTGACGTTAAATCCTTCAGACTCACTCTCTGCTTCGAACCGCTAAATTAAACCACCCTGAAACCAAACGGATAGCTGGGTCGGTAGAAACCTTACCTATGTACACACAAGTTCGAATTCTCGCCGATTATGCTTATTCTGCTTTGAGGCTGCTGATTATAGTTGCATTGTCTTCTCTGAAAAATGTAAATTTGTTGTTTCTTATGGAGGCATTCTAGTATGAATAATTAAACAGATGATACAACTATTTGTAGAACCATCATTTATTCTCAGCCTTAATAAATCGAAATCTAATTAAGCTTTATTAAAACCTATATATGCAGAGATATAAGGAATGTGTAGTATTATTAGTAACATTACGATGGTTTGAACATGAATCACAATGCCAGGGCAGAGACCCACAAGTGGGCTCTCTTGGCAAAATTACATGGAAAAAGGCCGAGGACCAGATGACTCGAATATATTGAGCACCTGGCATTATCGCTTGTTGGAATCCGGCTCTTGGGACTGATAAGATTAGTAGAGAACGTTAACGTAGGAAGAGCACGTTGCGAAGCTGCTGCAGTCACTATTCAAAAGGGACAAAAGGATCTTGAACATGGTTCGATCTAATATTAGTAGCACCCAAGCTCATACGGGAACGTATTCATCTCTGTCCTAGTAAGAAATCGAAAAATGAAATGAATTTCTACTAATAAAATAGTAAAAGTTGTGTTGGCCTTTTACCGATAGATACACCAAAAGTGGGAAAGAGTGCCTTTGAAATCAGATCCGTAAAATAATTCATTTATGTGATTTACGGTATAGCTTGGCGAACCCCGCAGAAATTATGCACAGACTGCCGTGGAATGTGTAGTTCACTCAACGCTGACCTCCCATTTTCCCCAACATAACGCAAATTATTATCGTTTGATAGTGCCGAAAGCAACTGGTTCATCTGATTCTAGTCATTTGCCTCGTCTGTAATAAAATATATAGAAAATCGCCGGCTATGCAGATTTTGGAGGATACAGCACTAATGCGTCTATACGCCCGCCATCACGCCTGATGCATCTGAACATTCGCAAAGTACGCACTGCAGAGCTGAACGTCGCGTCCAAGACGTGACTCGTAACTGCAAGATACTGCGCAACACACTGCAGCCGGGAAAGCGACGTTGTTGATGAAGAGAAAATTACTTTGGACCGTGAGTCACACGAAGTCTGAGGATGAGGACAGCAGCGTTTCGATGTGCGATAGCCGGCATCCGCCGTTCTGCTGTATCGACTGTGATGTACACACAGTAAGCTGGTTCTGTCGTATTTACATTTCAAAGCACATCTGATCTGAGCTCGGCTTTAAACGGTAGGACGTTTTTACCCACGGTCAACATCGAGTGAAACCGTTCGAAGGAATAAGGTCACAAATTGCTTATTTCACAGTCAATATTCATTTAAATGTGCCTACTT